CTGAACAGTCACTTTGGCCCTGGAGTACCTCGATATCTGATTTCTCCCATGTATATTTCCCATCTGTTCAGATTACACCTTCCCTCAGCAGAGAAAAGTGTTGGTTTGGTGAGTTTAACCTTTTTATAGCATGGACAATTAAATAGCTCCAGATCCTCTCCATAGCAGCTTCTTTCCCAGAGCCTGATACAATGATATAGGGGGGAAGATAGCTCAGTGGTTTGAGCATTGGCCTGCTAAACCCAGGGTTGTGAGCTCAATCCTTGAGGCGGGCCACTTAGGGATCTGGGGCAAAAATTGGGGATTGGTCCTGCTTTGAGCAAGGGGGTTGGACTAGATGACCTCCTGAGGTCCCTTCCAACCGTGATATTCTATGACGTTAATAATATTATCTCAGGTATCTTATTTCAATGTATTCCATTTAGCCCATTGAATTCCAATGAGTGAGTGATTAGATTTTTAATTGCATATTTAGAAATTAAATTCACAGGTGTTGGTTTGTATTAAACAACAACAACCCATAATCTAACTATCCCTCCTTTATTTCTCACCTCTCTCCTACCCTACTTGCTCCTGCCTTGGTCTTCCACCCCAATCTGCTGAGCTACAGCTGGCCTCAGAGTGACCTGCTTTTCATCATATGCAGTAACATACTGCAGAGGGCCAGACCGAGAGAAGGGACAATAGCACTTCAAGCAGCTTGCTTTGTGGGATAGAGGTGCAGTGGTCCTATCTCTTGTGGTTTTATCTAGAGTCTCGCAATATTTGGTGTTGTCCTTAAATCCCCAGCTCCTGAAGTCAAGTGATTACATGAGAATCTTTTATTTAAAAAGGAAAAGTACACTTCTGGCCTTCTTGATTGTGCCCTGAAGATTCAAAAACCAGAAGAAATTTTTTTCAACCCACTCCCAAATATGATTTTTTAAATTCTTAAGATTTGTAAAAAGAAAAGGAGTACTTGTGGCACCTTAGAGACTAACAAATTTATTTGAGCATAAGCTGTAGCTCACAAAATTGGTTAGTCTCTAAGGTGCCACAAGTACTCCTTTTCTTTTTGCGAATACAGACTAACATGGCTGCTACTCTGAAACCTAAGATTTTTAAGTCAGTCTCCTGATTTGGGGGGCCTGACTCATGAGTTTTGAATGCTTGACGTTGGAACAATGGAGGTAGGAGACCAGAAGTCTTTTGGGGAAAGGAGAGGGGTAGTAGTCTACAATGTAGGGGGCAGAGATAGGTGACTGCTGGAGACTGAGGTGTGCTAGAAGAGGTGCAGGACTGGGAGGAAGCTGCAGGAAAGTGTCAGAAAACGGGTGTTTCCGAGGAGGGGATGCTGCACTAAGGGCTAGGAGGAAAGATAGAGGAGGTGGCTCCTGTTTTTGTGTTGGTTTCCGGCAAAATTGCCAGGCAGAATCCTACACATAGGGAGCCTCTGACTCTTTACCTCTGAGTGCAGAATTCAACTCACGGGCTTTATTTTTTTAAATATTGCCTGACTATTTTGCTAGAGGCTGTTCTTAGATTTTGAGGCTGAGGCCTATTGAAGGAGGCTGCTAAGGTGCCAGGAGCTGCAAAGGAGAAGGCTCCCGCACAACACTGCGGGCAGCAGTGTGATGAATCTGCTGAGCAGCTCATTCATTCCTGGGCTTCCCCTGCCCCCAGGAGGAACCCTGGGGGACCATATTCCAGCAGGGGGAGGGTAACTCCCCTCCCACCTAGACACACCTGGCCAATGAGAGCAGGCAGGTGGAAACCCTTCTAAAAAGGGCTGTCCTGGCTGGGAGGAGCCTTTCTTGGGGACTGGCCTGGAGCAGGTAAGAGGCCAGCTGGGATATCCCTGGCGGAGACACACAAGCGCTGCAGGCCAGAGAAGGAACATCTGGCAGCCTGTGAATGCTGGTGGGAGGCTGCTAGCAGCTGTTTCTGGCGGGGAGCAGCAGTGGGGGTCAGGTCTGAGCACAGCCTGTGGGGAAACAACAGGTTGAAGGGCCCTGCTGAGGGTGAGGGCCCCCACAGGAGCAGAGGCAGTGGCAGCAGCTCCCCCTGCCACCCCTTGTCTCCTGCCTTGTTCCTCCCAGTCACTCCCTGCTTCTCTGTGCCATCCCCCTCCCATAACCCCCCAGGCCTTGCCTGCCCTCTTTGCCAGGGTCTCTACCTCCTGTCCAGCACCTACTCCCTATTTCCCATGCTCCACTTCCCTTCTGCCCCCTGTAACCAGTTCTCTCTCTGCCCCTCCTCCCTGACCTGGTTCCCTTCCCCCTTTCTGCCTATCTAGCACTGATATCTGGTCCTCTGTCCCCACTTTCCTGATGGTGCCAGCGGTGAAGGGATGAGGGAGGAGAGCTTAGGGCTCCATTTTGAGGCTGTCTTTTACTGGTAGCTCAGGAATTAGGGGGTCAAATGCTCTGTGACTACCAGTAGGAGCAGCCCTGGGCTACATGCCAGCTTGTCTGCCTAGGCTCTCAGCTCCACTTGCAGCTCCCCGCAGGGAGCCCAGGTGCTGCCCTGAGGCTTTCGGCCCCCCACTCCCTGCCAGGAGCCTACGTGCTGACTGAGGCTCCCCACTCCCTGCTGAGAGCATGGCAGCCACTGGGTGGGGAACAGAGAGCCGGGGGGCAGTTCCCAGGCTTCCAGCAAGAAGCGGGGATCTGGGATCTGGGTGGGCAGCACCCAGGCTCCTGGCAGGGAGCCTCGGTGCATCAGGGCTACCAGTGGGGTATGGGGAGCCCAGGGGCAGCTGAACAGGGAGCCAGTGTTGGATCATATTAAAGAAGTTCTGTATTAAAAATCACAAATGAGTTTGATTCCCCATAGTTTCAATTCCAGGATATTACTAATTAAGAGGTCTCTTGGTTTTTGGTACTGTTTCTCTCCCTCTATGTGTGAAACTTGCAAGCTGCTAATTGTGTTAGTACATTCTAAGACAGAGTCTATTCTCAAAGCAATTCACAGAGAGAGAGACTCAAAGCAATACTCTAACAACAGAAACAGCACCCAGAGACTCCCCGCCCTTTTGTTGTATTAACAATTGTGATTAAAATAGAGATAGAGGATGTATGTGGATGGATGCTTGGTGTGGATAATAACTGAATGATCAGGGAGGTGCCAGCCTAAGAATCCAGTGTCCGTTGGCTGAAGAAGGCGTCAAGTGGAAATAACCAGAGGACCCCCCGGAGGGCAGACTGGAATCCACCCAACAGCCTCAAGAATGGGAGAACCAAAGAACAAGATAACATCTTGGAGCCGTCAGGAATGTGCTATCTGCTGATTGATTCAGCAACAGCATGATGAAGCAATTCCCATAGACTGGCATAGGAAGAAATTCCTATAAAAATAGACTCTAAAAAGTGAGAACTTTGGGGTCTGATTCTGCAAACCAACTTCCAGGAGCATCAGATGAGCATCTGACAAGGCCCTGCTCCCTCCTCATGTCCAGGCCACCTGGCCAGTGGCTTGGCATGAGCAACTCTAAGGCTGGTAACTATGATAACAACCTTGCAGAACCTGTGTGTGTATGTTTGTATGAATGAATGTGTGAATAAATATGAGATTGAATGGAATGTTATAACTATAACTGCTTACTATGATTCTTTCTGTATTCACAATAAATGTGGTATTTTGCCTTTTTCCCTTTAATAAGATCCTGCTGGTTTTTTATTTTATCGGTATAACACCAGGAGCCCAGGCAATAGCCTGGTTGGGAGTGGGGAGTTGGGTGGGTGCAGCCTGGCACTGAGTGGGGAGCCTGGCAGGTGCAGTCCAGTATGAGTGGGGAAGCTGGGCAGTAGCCCAGCGGGGAGCCTGGCAGGCTCTAGCTGGAGGCTCTAGCTGGAGGCTCTAGCTGGAGCCCCCCACCCCTGCAGAGAGCTCTACCATGGAGCATTTCACAGCTCTACCATGGAGCCTTGACACTGACAAGAATGACAGCCAATTGCCAATGTAAATATTGTGCAGTGTCTTTATAGCACTAACTACATGGACATAAGCCCTAGGCCTTTCATGGGCGTGGCATTTTGATGTCCGTTGTAGGTCACTTACATTGATGGGACAAGTCTGCGGTGTGTACACTATTGCTGCCTTTTAGAAACCATCCCAGAGTGCCCCACATTGACAGTTAAATTGGTGTAAGCGCTCCTGGGGAGGACACCCACTGCTGACACAAGTGTGGAGATGCAAAAGTGATTTTAATTACTGCAGTGGGAGTGGCTGTACAGCTATGTAATTTAGGTCAACTGATTTTGTAGTGTAGAGTTGCCCCAAGGCATTTATTTCACTCTCATGGTTTTCCTGATAATCTCCTGTCGTTTGGTGTTATTTTGGGGTGGGGTGAGTGGTTATTGTTTTTGCTCTCTTGGGAATGGCAGTACAGGATTCAAGGGAGCAGTGGAAAAGCCTCCATCACCCTCTGGTAGGTGGAGAGACTTGGATGGGAGAATATAGCGGGGGAACTGCTGTTAGGGCTTGGCTACACATGGAGTTATTCAGGACCAGCTGAAGCTTCTTTGCTCAAGGTCCTAAGCACTGGACCATCCTTCAGGTCCAACTATTACTGTGGCTTTGAGCAGTGCTGCGGCACAAGTGCTCGAACAGCACCCTGCCCATCAGCATGTCCCTCAGCACACCCTTATTCTGGGAGCTTACCAAGGGCCAGCTTGAGTGATTTACAGCAGCTCAAACCACCCTAAAGGGGACACAGTAGAACCCCAAATTGGGACCCTGTGCTTGAACTGTTTTCCCGGCTACAGTTGTCCAAAACCAAGAGGGGAGCGAAAATGGCCCAGGAGCCCCGTGGGAGCTTTGTTCTGAGTGGCAGGGGATGGTGCAGGCCAGGGGGCTGTGAGTGGCCTCTAGCAGGAAAGGGTACAAAGGAGCAGAACCGCGGGAAAGGGGACGTCTCTCTCCAGTCTGGGGAAGTGAGGGTTAAAACCAAAGAGCCGGTTCTGGAGAGGAGGACTAGAAAGTCCTGCCCAGTGGGGACTTCAGCGACCTGGAACGTCCTGTTCCCTGCAGCCCGCCGTGCACATGGCACCTGGCGCCGCACAGCTACAGCCCCGCACCCCCGGGCGTTCGCACTGAGCGACCCGCTCCTGCGGCTTCCCGCAGCCACACGGGTGAGCCGGGCGGGGGGGGCTCGGTAATGCGGGGGGAGGGGACACAGCAGGGCGGGGCCCAGGAGGGGAAATCACTGCCTGTAGGAAGCGACAGCAACGAAGAGGGAGCTAGAGCTGGAGCCTGGACTTGGGACTGACTCAGGGAAGGAGAACGAACCAGGGCCCCTCATCCTGAAGGGATGTGCCTCGGCAGGATTTCTCCCGCACCGCCCAGCTGGACAGCTGAGGGACAGCATGGGCCGAGGGGGTGTGTCTGCGGTTTTCCCCCCAGCTCAGGGGCAGCGTGTGGGGAGCTGTACAGGGATCCTCAGGCACAGCCGGATGATCTTTAACAAAACCGAGTACGCCGCCTACCAGGATTTCAGAAAAACGTGGAAAGGAGTTTGGGGAAGATCGGTGAATGCTAAGGGAGTGGTAGAGGGAGGGGATTTAAGATGAAATTTGGAGGTGGGAGATGATGGGAGCGGGCTGGGGTCAAAGGAAAAGAGTTGTGGGGATATAAGTACATTTTTTGCAACGAGCAAACTTGATTTTTTGTTAACAAAAGAAATAAACTGCAAAACAACCCCCCCCCCCCCATTAAAAAAAAACTATTCTGAAATGCTGCATAAATGGTGGAACTAACCAGAAACTATAAGCTGTAACCAGATCAAAATAAAAAGCAGAAAATGAGACGGTGCATAACTTAAGGCTTGTCTAAACACAAAAGGTGTGTCGCTTTAACTACATCCCTATACTGTAGTTTTAAAGTGGCACAACCCCGCTAATGACAGGTTTCAGAGTAGCAGCCGTGTTAGTCTGTATTCGCAAAAAGAAAAGGAGTACTTGTGGCACCTTAGAAACTAACCAGTTTATTTGAGCATAAGCTTTCGTGAGGTACAGCTCACTTCATCGGATGCATTCAGTGGCAAATACAGTGGGGAGGTTTATATACATAGAGAACGTGAAACAATGGGTGTTACCATACACACTGTAATGAGAGTGATCACTTAAGGTGAGCTATTACCAGCGGGGGGGGGGGGGGGAATCTTTTGCAGTGATAATCAAGGTGGGCCATTTCCAGCAGTTGACAAGAACATCTGAGGAACAGTGGGGGGATGGGTGTGGGAGGGGAATAAACATGGGGAAATAGTTTTACTTTGTGTAATGACCCATCCACTCCCAGTCTCAATTCAAGCCTAAGTTAATTGTATCCAGTTTGCAAATTAATTCCAATTCAGCAGTCTCTCATTGGAGTCTGTTTTTGAAGTACCACCCTATACCAGAAACCTACTGACCGCTATTCCTACCTACATGCCTCTAGCTTTCATCCAGACCACACCACACGATCCATTGTCTACAACCAAGCTCTACAACGCATTTGCTCCAACCCCTCAGACAGAGACAAACACCTACAAGATCTCTATTAAGCATTCTTACAACTACAATACCCACCTGCGGAAGTGAAGAAACAGATTGACAGAGCCAGAAGAGTTCCCAGAAGTCACCTACTACAGGAGAGGCCCAACAAAGAAAATAACAGAACGCCACTAGCGGTCACCTTCAGCCCCCAACTAAAACCCCTCCAATGCATCATCAAAGATCTACAGTCTATCCTGAAGGATGACCCTTCACTCTCACAGATCTTGGGAGACAGGCCAGTCCTTGCTTACAGACAGCCCCCCAACCTGAAGCAAATACTCACCAGCAACCACACAACAAAAGCACTAACCCAGGAACCTATCCTTGCAACAAAGCCCGTTGCCAACTGTGTCCACATATCTATTCAGGGGACACCATCATAGGGCCTAGTCACAGCAGCCACACTATCAGAGGCTCGTTCACTTGCACATCTACCAATGTGATATATGCCATCATGTGCCAGCAATGCCCCTCTGCCATGTACATTGGTCAGACTGGACAGTCTCTACATAAAAGAATAAATGGACACAAATCAGACATCAAGAATTATAAAATTCAAAAACCAGTTGGAGAACACTTCAGTCTCTTTGGTCACTCGATTACAGACCTAAAAGTTGCAATTCTTCAACAAAAAACTTCTCAACTGCTGGAAATGGTGCACCTTGATTATCACTATAAAAGGTTCCCCCTGCCCCCCCCCCCCCCCGCTCTCCTGCTGGTAATAGCTCTGAATGCATCCGATGAAGTGAGCTGTAGCTCACGAAAGGTTATGCTCAAATAAATTTGTTAGTCTCTAAGGTGCCACAAGTACTCCTTTTCTTTTTGCGAACCCCCCTAATGTAGACACAGATATACTTATATAAAAGTGCTTATGTAGGTATGGCTTATTCCAGTATTGGAAGGCAGAGTGGATAAAAGTTGATTTGTTTTACATTTAAAAAATTGGATTTTTTCATTTAAATATATTTTTGTTTTTAAAAATAAACCTGTTTTAAAATTATTTTGATAATTATGACAAGTTATGTTAAGGCCTAAACTTGCTTGAAACTATTTAAATAAATAAATAAATGTGCTGCATCAGGGAACTCTCCGCAGATTTGAATGAATTAAAGGGTACTGCTTTTCTAATGATGTACATCGTCAGGGTAAACATCTTTAACTTTTGAGGTCAAAGTCCTGTACTGCATTAAGTAAGAACCTATATCATTTTCCATCTTTACAATGCAATGAAAGTTGGTATTCAAATTTTTCCAAATGTAAGTACTTCAGAGGTTTTTGTTTGTTTTGTTTGTTTGAAGGAAAAAGCTTTTCCTTCATTTCCTTTTGGTTTCAGTTTAGCTAGCAGGTGTAGAGAGAATATTTCCTTCATTTGGACTAGTTAATTCAAAGTTGAGAAACTGCTTGGGATTTGAAAAAGGCGGAAAGTTGGGTTCCTCTTTCAGGCTATGAATAAAAACCACATTCAAGAAGATGAGATTTACTCATCCTAAAAACGTGAATGCTACTGGAGCACTTTTTCCAAAGGTATTTAGGCACCTAAAGATGCATATAAGTGCCTAGTTGGACTTTCAAAAGTGCCTAAGCAGGTGGTTATTGTTATTATTATTTTATGTATTTGTTTTATCCTGGCACTGAATAAACACAAAACAAAAAGATGGCCCTTGCCCTGAGCAGCTTGACAGGCAGTGATATGAGCATGGTAATTTTTTTTTTTTTGGTAGGATCACAGCAAAGGAGAGTTTTGAGGAGAGCTTTGAAGGATGCTTTAAACCTCCAGGACACTCAGTTAAGAGCATCAAAGGAGTGCTGAGAGGCAGGGGTGGGACAGGTGGTAGCTTGCCTGACAGCCAGCTCGATTTCAATGAGAGTTAGGAACCTAATGAGGGTAGGCACTTTTGAAAATTCCTCTAGGCATCTAAATACCTTGTTGGATTTTCATCTGGCTTTGTCACTGGCCTCTTCCAATTCCTCCTCAAATACTTCCCTATTGTTTTATAATAATAAATGCCCAGATATGTGCTGAGCACTTCACAGGAATGTGTAAAAGCCAGGTCCCTGCCTTGAAGAGCTCACAGTCCTGCAACACCAGTCAGTGGGAGCTCTGTCACTGATCTCAGTGTGGGTAGGATCACATTTCTGGGTCCCAGTCCTGCCAAAGAATCGGCAAGGATGAACCCTGATGCCTGTGCAGAGTCATGACTAAGTCAATAGGACTCCATCCAGACACAATGCTCTCCCTGTACTGATTCCTATGCAGAATTGGGGCCAAAATGTTCTCACTTGTCAGTCTTGTGAATTGTATCATTTCCCAGAAAGGGGACAGGTAAGGAAAGACAGACTCGCAGTGACAAGGCTTAAGGTTAGGCACCGGTTTTCTCTGTGTGGGGCTTTTGGGTATACTTTCCCTCATTAATCACATCTGATTGTTGTTGAGGTTCATTACCCCTGTTTTCTTTCCCAGGACCAGGATTTTTGGCTGCTAGGGGTGAAGTGACCTCTTAGATGGAACAAGGATAAAAACCATATGTCTTTGATCTCCGGAGCCCTGAGAAAATGGAGAGCCTTAGAGATCCCTATACAGGTGAGAGCTGTTTTAAAATCAATTTACATAGTTAATTAGCCCGTTTTAGAGCTGGAATTCCAACACAGCTCATGAGTAAGGCTAAGATTTTGTCATGGTTATTTTTAGTAAAAGGCATGGACAGGTCACAGGCAACAAACAAATTCACAGAGCCTGTGACTTTTTTATTAAAAATAACTGTACAAGCTGCGGGGCAGAGGTGCACAGCCCCAGCAGCAGCCCGCACTGCAGGACAGGGGCACACGGCCCTGGTGGCAGCCCCCACAGTGGGGCTATGTGGAGAGCATAGCTCCGGCTCCAGCCACAGCTTCAGCTGCTGTCGGCTGAAGCTGAAGAAGTCACAGCGGTCCGGTAAGGTCACAGAATCTGTGACTGCCCTGACCTCCGTGACTAAATCGTAGCCTTACTCATGAGTCTCATATCAGTCTCGTTCTGTGATCTCATTGGCTCTGCTATAGTAGAAGTGCATTGTTAGGCTCTTAGCAAGAATCACCTATACATTGGTATGCCAAGCACTCAACTTTCTTGGGATTCTTCCACCTGTTCTAGAAACTTGAGTCTGCCCTATATAAAATCCAGAGTATTTGTCTAACTGTATTAATACTATGAATGTTGAGGACAAGAAATAGACAAGTTTCAAAAATCTGAGGCTCCTAAGTGACTTACAAGGAAAAGGTGCCCAATGAGACTTGTGTTCCCAAATCACTTAGGCTCCAAAGTTCATATTGAGACATAAGTGGAGATTTTTATAAAGCACATATCTTTTTGACTCTTCTTTTGAAAGATTTGGCCAATATTTTCTGGTTATTCACACCACATACTTTCTCTTTATTATGGAGGCTTTGTAGCAGATCCCTGGCTAATATATGGTTTTCAGCTTAAAGTGGAGTTCAACTCCCTTATAAAACAAAATCTCACCCTTGTAATGACCCAAATTATACTGTTTGAATCAGAATAAGCTTGAATTTTCAATATACTTTCCATTCTCTAAAAATGCCTAATTTGAAAAGTTTAACCCACTTTAAAAATCCCTAACTTTGTAATTTTTTAAAAAAGCAGTCTTAGGTTTTGTTTTTTCCCCCCACCAGGCCCTCTTACTGCACACTGCCAAATTTTACACACTTGGTATTTCATGCACCATGAAGCAGACAATATTCCAGCTTTTGGAAATTACAAACAGTGGAAAGTTAGGTGAGGTGTGGGTGGCAAGATGTGACATGATGTTGGTGTGGATAGTAATGTTGTTCTAATTGGTGCTTTTTCCTGAATTTTTCTTTTTCTTCTCAGTGATAGCATTGATAGGAAATGCACTGGAGCACCCCTAGCACCAAGTTAAGAGTTTTTTGTATTCTTCAAAAAGTTCCTCAATCCCCTGATGTGGGGGAGAGGCAAAGTCCACTGTTGTCTTGGGCTAAAAACAAATAGGGTGGGCTTTTGACCCAATAAGCTGGGGAGACTAGATCCCCATGTAGCAGGAGATGCTGATGGCAAACTGCTCCTCTGAGTTTCCCTGCTTATGATGGACTCTGCTTCTCCTCCACATCAGCAGCCTGAGGTGCCTTTTGCAGAACAATAGTCATGCTAAAAACAGTCCTCAGTAGTCTGGAGGGAGAGAGCGAAAGGTCCCACAGTCCATTCGCCTCCCCAGTCTCTCCTCACACCAATCTACTTTTCCTTTCATCCTCATACATTTCCTCACCTCACTCTCTTTCACTCTGTTCCTCTTCCCAACTCTTTCTTCCATGTCCCTCTCCTCACTCCCTGTCCCTGTCTAGGGAAAGTTGTGCTGGGGCTTGATGCAAAGCTTATAGTCTTAGACCTGATCTACACCTCACACTTAGGTCAACCTAGCTACAGCACTCAGGGCTGTGAAAATTGTCATGTCCTGTGCAATGTAGTTAGCTCAACCTAACTGCCACTTTAGACACGGCTAGGTGGATGGAAGGACTCTTCCTTCGACCTAGGTACCTCCTCTAGAGGGGGTGGATTTACTACAGTGATGGTGAAACCCCTTCCATCACTGTAGTGAAAGTCTGCACTACAGTGGAATAACTGCAGCTCCGCAGCTTGCCAGTGTAGCACTTGTAGTGTGCAGAAACACCCTTAAGCTCATACCCTTAAGCTTAGTGTCTTACTTGTAACACACCCTTTACGCTTCCCTGAGATTGCCTTTCTCCTGAGCACAGGCAATGAGTGCTGTCTGGATTCTCTCTTTACTTCCCTAGATGATGCGATTGTGAGAGAAAGCGAAGAGGAGAATCCTCAGCTGAAGCTAGACGCAGGAAAGAAACTAGACACGCATGCTGGCCCCATTAACTATCAGAGGCCGCGCGGCAGAGAAAATCACTATCAATGTACAGAATGCAGGAAAAGCTTCAGTGTTCATTCGGCACTGATCAAACACCAGAGAATCCACACTGGAGAGAAACCCTATCAGTGCAGTGAATGTGGGAAAAGCTTCAGTGTAAGCTCGACGCTGGTTACTCATCAGAGGATCCATACGGGGGAGAGGCCCTACAAATGTGTGCAGTGTGGGAAGAGCTTCAATCAAAGCTCACACCTCACTCAGCATCAAAAGATCCACAAGGGAGAGAAGCCATGTACATGTACTGAATCCGGAGGAGGCTTTACTGACAGCTCAACATGCGTGAAACATCCAGGACTGCATGCTGGAGCAGGGCCCTATAAATGTGCTGAATGTGGGAAAAGCTTCAATCGGAGCTCCACTCTCTACAACCACAACAGGATCCACACGGGAGAGAAACGCTACAAATGTGATGAATGTGGAAAAAGCTTCAGTGTGAGCTCCAACCTTATCAGGCATCAGAAAATCCACACGGAGCAGAGACCCTATAAATGTCTTGAATGCCGTAAGAGCTTCAGCCTGAGCTCAGATCTGGAAGTGCATCAGAGACTTCACCTGGGAGAGAAACCCCACAAATGTTCTGAGTGTGAGAAAAGCTTTGATCAGGAGTCACAGCTCCTGAAACATCAGCGAGTTCATGCTGGGGAAAACTCATATGAATGTGTGGAGTGCAGGAAGAGCTTTAGTAGGAAGGGGAACCTCCTGAGACACCAGGAGATCCACACTGGGGACAAACCCTACCGGTGTAATGAATGTGGGAAAAGCTTCAGCCGGAGTTCGTCACTCATGCAGCATCAGCGGATCCACACTGGAGAGAAACCCTACAGTTGTATCGAATGTGGTAAGAACTTCAGCTTTAGCTCCCAGCTCACCACCCACCAGCGGATCCACACAGGGGAGCGGCCCTACAAATGTAACGAGTGCGGGAAAAGCTTTGTGGACAGCTCGGGTCTCATTCAGCACCGGAGAATTCACACGGGAGAGAAGCCCTACCAATGCACTGAGTGTGGGAAGAGCTTCCGGCAGAACTCGGTGCTGATTCAACACCGGAGAACCCACACCGGTGACAAGCCCTTTGAGTGTGGGGAGTGCGGTGAACGCTTCAGCCAGAGCTCCACGCTGATCACACACCAAAGGATTCACACTGGGGAGCGGCCCTACCACTGCAGTGAGTGCGGGAAGAGCTTCAGTGAGAGCTCACACCTCACGCAGCATAGGAGAATCCACACGGGGGACAAGCCCTACAAGTGCAGCGAGTGTGGGAAGAGCTTCATTCAGAGCTCGCAGCTCACCACCCACCAAAGGATCCACACAGGAGACAAACCCTACCAGTGCCACACCTGTGGGAAGAGCTTCAGTGACAGCTCGGCACTCACCCAGCATCAGAGAGTCCACACAGGGGAGCGACCGTATCAGTGCACGGAATGTGGGAGGAGCTTCAGCCAGAGCTCTGCCCTGGTGCAGCACTGGAGGATCCACACTGGAGATAAGCCCTATGAGTGCACCGAGTGCGGGAAAACTTTCAGCCAGAGTGCAGGGCTCACTCAGCACCGGAGCACCCATGCGGGAGAGAGACACTGAGACAGGGACCCGTGAGCCATGTGGTACTCTATGCCCATGCTGTCAGGAGTGGCTCTTTGCTGGACTGAATGACGCAACAAAGCGGAAGCAGTGTTACAATGTTAATTGATCATGAAACTATTGACTCACAATCAATCTCTTAATTAAAATCCTCCTAAAAATGCATCAGGCATGTTGTGATGCCGAGAAAGCTAACCCTTCCGCCGCACCTGGCCTCCAAACATAAGAGGACATTATTATACATTTTTAAGCCGAATCTTAGGGGAACTTAGCAAAAGCTTCTGTGCAGCATGGTTGCCCGCTTACCCCTCTTGTGTGGCTACAAAACTTGGGGAGTGGGAGCCATCTCAGAAGTGGTGGAAGCTCTGTCTGAAGGAATATGGGGGAGAGTGCAAGAGAGACTTCCGAAGCAGTTAGGCCATTTGTATCAGGTAGAGGAAATGCCATTCAGTCAGCTAAGCAGCCCATCATCTGAGCTCCAGTCCTTCTGAGCTTAGGAACTCTGCATTATAGTTGCCCCTCCCAGCTGTGCAGCTCCCAAGCTGTGCAGCAGGGAAAGACCCCACCATATGTCTCTCCTCCACACCTAAAATGTGCATGGATCAGGGCCTGTACAGGAGGAGATGACTGTCCTTAACCCTTCAGGTTGTCAACCACCTCCATCTGGCCCTCCCACAAGTCACTGCTTCACCCTCTTCTGCCCCCTTACCTGAAAGGGGGGGGGGGGTATTCTTTTCCTTACTGTCCTGTATCACAAAGCATTCTCCATTCCGTGCTTCCCACCCTCCTTTATCAGGGAGGAGGGTGAGAAGAGGTGCAAGCAGCCCCCTGAGCTCCCCCTTATGGGGAAGACCCAACAACACAGAGATCCAGAGAATGAAGGCAAGCTGATTTGGTGGCCAAGCTGATTTGGAAGATGGCAGGAGAATATTCATTTTGTTGGGTGTATGCAATGCAAACACAAATGCATGTGTTGTTCTGGTAAACAGAGAAATTATGAGGCAGTTTGTAAGCTTAGATACCATGGGAACGATTCTGTTACAAAGGCTTAGCTAGATAATGTCCCCAGCACAGCACTATGAACACTGTTCGTAATAGCTTGATTCAGCTTTGCCCTTCCCTTCTCGACCTGGGACTGAGCAGTGGGTTTGTCTTGGGAGCAGCAGGTGCTGCATGAAGAACACCTATTTCATGTACCAGTGACATTCGAGGAGATGGCCATCTATTTCACCTAGGAGTGGGCTCTTCTGAACAAAAGGCAGAGGAAGCTCTAAAGGGATCTGCATTATTAGCCATTAGAGGACCTACATGGAGTTGAAATGCTATCAGTATACTGAATATGGGGGCATTTCAGTGGCAGCTCAAATCTCATACATTAAGAGAATCTACATGGATGAGAAACCCTATTGTAAATGGCCAGGGCATATGTGGGGAAAATTTTCTGTCATAGCAAAGGCCTTTTATCTGACCTACAGACTGATGAGTCCCATGCCCATTGTGTTGTACAGGTGTCAATAGCCAATATGGGGACAGTGGCAGGAGGGTGGGTTTCCTACAGCGTTATATGTAAAACTCAAAGTGATAACTCTAATTTTGAAACATCCATTTATTTGTCATTTCTAAAGCAGGACACAGCCTGCAGCTCTGAACTTCTTAAATTTGGACTGATCATTGTAAGAATGCCAGAACCCTTCCATCCCCTAGCTTCCAATTCATTTTCTTTCACAGGGTCTTTAAGAAGTCTGCATCACATGATGGTGCACTGCTTAAACTTGGAAAGGCCTCTGGACTTGTATGCTTTGCAGGTGATTGTGTGTGACTGTCAATGACAGACCTTTGGGCTCATTGCTTTCATACATAAAGCACATGCTACAACGTTACATTCAATTTTGTCCTGTCTTACAACCTTAATACCATGATTTCAGCTTTTGAGTTTTGTACAGGTAACTCTGCTATCTAGTTGGCTAATGACACTTGTATATCTGGTGATGCATGGAATCTGTGTACTGGGAAATGATTGCCTTCAATAAATTGTTTGATCAGAAATTAGAAAATTTGGTCTGTGTGCACCTGTATGAAGGGTGCACTGTACAAATAAAAGTAAAAAAAAAAAAATCTAGTTTTGTGATCATGGATCACCTGACTCTGCTTGTTCTCAGAGCATCTCTGTGGGAGCAGAGTTAAGGTGTTTGGGTGACAAATCGTCTGTGTCTTTCCAAAATGTTAAATGTTTGGATTTCTTATAAAGTTAAACTTGCAGAGGAAAAAACATTGGCTTTTTTCCACTCTGTTGATTTCTTTGAGATGTGTAGAGTCTTTAAAGTAATATATGCTATTAAATTAGAAACTCAGGCCTTGACTACACTGGATGCGTGGTGAACAAATAGCTGAGATTTTCACTGGACTGAAGGATTTAGCCACAGAACACTTATTCGCTTCCATGGGAGTTGTGTAGCTAACTCTCCTAGTCTGCTTTGAAAATCTTAATCAGAGGGAACCATGCTACTGAAACTTGATTCACTGAGAAGGGAATTGTGTGTGTATGTTTGTGTGGAGAGAGGTGGATTAAAACTCTGCCTTCTGAACTGGGTTTTTGTGTGTGTGGTTTGCTTGTTTGTTTGAACACCTATTTAGAACTCTGGTGAAAAGGTGCCTTGTTAAGGCACCTTCACATAGGGGCTGAGAAAGACACCAACCCACGTGTGAGGCATCCAAGGAGTCTAATAGGGAAGACTAGATTTGATGATCCTGATACTTCTAAAGTAAAAAGCAGGGGGGAGACTAAAATCTCCTGGGGAAGAATATGGGGAATCTATAAGGCTGTCCTTACACATCATAAAGAAGCAGAAAAGGTACAAATCAATTTTATTTCCATTATAGGTCATTCTTAAGTCTAAACTCTGAACTTCTAACACGTGTTGTAAGTCTTTTTAGTACATATCAACTTTAATTCCAGTGTAGCAGATATTTTGTGTGTGTAGGTGTGTGGAATGAACATGATATAGTTTTCAGTAACTAAACCCTTTTCTCACCAGTAATGCTGGGGGGAGAGGGCGCGGAGGGGAAGTTACGGGACTTGGTTCATGGTAGCATTAAGGGTCACAATAGGATTGAGGGGTAAAGTGGGTGAGGAAAAGGCACTTTTTGTTATCTGATACATTCGGTCTTTCCTGGCCACAGGTGGGTGGTAATGCAAAGGGGAGAATTAATGAAGGTAAGAGACACATAAGCCTCTGCAGAAACTGAACATTTGACACCTATCAGGAATGGTGTAGTAATTATGTAGTCCTGCCTTGAGTGCGGGGGACAGAGCTAGATGACCTCTCAAGGTCCCTTCCACTCCTACACTTCTATGATTCTCTGATCTAGGAGATGGTGTCAAAAGGAAGAAGCAGAAGGGTTTTTCTGTACCCGTGTTGGATCCCCAATGGAAAAGATCCTTGATTGTCATGACCAGCTGTAACTGCTGCAAACAGTGGGAGTGGAGATCTTTCCTAGAGACATCACAAAGCAGACTAATTAAACTATTCTAAGAGGGGTTGTGGATGTTTGGTCCCACTAAGGACTTGGTTGCTAGGAACCTTGGATTGCCCCTTGCCAGCTGGACAGTGAAATCATTACTAGGTGTAAGCAGGGGAATAGTCCTGCTATTGTGGGGAACTTTCCTGGCTTGTGCACTACCCCGGTGAAGTGGGCTAGCAAAAGGATCTGAGTCCTCGCTCCCACTTCCTTTACCCAGTGGCCTCCCTGCCCTTGAGGACTCCCCTTCCACTCTCCTGTCTGGCAGAGTCCTTGTAACCCCAACAAGGCTGGGCCCACCTAGGACAGGGCCTAGGGTGTCCCCACTCTGGGGTACTCTCTCTGCACTGGGCACTTCTCTGACCCACTGACCATTACGTACAAGTTAAAGCAAATGCAAGTTATTTAATCAACAATTAATTTTAAAAAGAATAAGGAAGAATGGGAAAGGTTAAAGGAAACATATCAACCCGCTCTGTGGCAGGGAACATCACAAACAGTGTCTCTGGAATGTCAGGGCAGTTCACAGTCTGTTCCTTGTAAGTCCCAGGCCTCCTTCTCAGGCCCTGGCTGTGCTGCAGGGATACTGTGGGTTGGACACTTGCTCTGGTGGTGGCCACATGCTCTCAAGGCTCTAAGTGGTAGGACCCTTCTTCCCAGTGTCGCCCCCGCCCTGTCGAGGTTATGATCCAAGCCTGGCCTGCAGAGTCTCTTGGCTGAGGCGTCTCCCTGTGCTGGGCCTGCTGCCCAGAGTCCCCCTCGCTTTCCCCAACTGCTCGCCGCATCCAGCTCTGGACTACTCCAGCCACAGCTCCACCACTCTGTCTCAGGACTGCTGCTGCTGCTCTGCCTCCAGCTCCCTGGGCTGCTTCTTTGGCCCCTCTGGCTCTGGTTGCTGCAGCTCTGCTCCCAGGACGGGTCTGCTCTGCAGGCTGCTTCTGTCACTCTGCTCCCAGCACTGACCTGCTTCCTGGGCTGCTTTTCTGGCCCCTCTGACTCTGGTTGCTGCAGCTCTCCTCCCAGGTCAAGTCTGCTTTCTCTGGGCTGCTTTTGTGGTCCCTCTGGATCTGGTACAGCTCTGCTCCCAGCTTAGCTCGGCCCCACTCTGTCCGACCCAGGCAATTCCAGCTCACACGGAGGACAGGACCTCCCTGGCCTCCTGACTCCCTGATTAGCCTGGTTGCCCTGTCATTCAGGCTGACCTGGAGCATAAGCCTCTCCCCATTGTTCCTGGGGTTTGTCAGTCTCAGGGTCCTGATTCCCCATCAACCCTTCCCCCTTTTTAGTACTGGGAGCTAGCAACTAAAACACCCCCACTAAATGTTAGTAAGGGGGCAACAGTCCCCTTACGTCGGCAATAGGGTTAGCAGGTCTTAGCTTTTATTTTTATAGAGTGGTGAAATGATGTAGAGCTTGAGGGTAAGGAAAGGGACAGTTTTTGTTGCACTTCTACTATTTCTGTCTTCTCTTAAGCTTGTCTCTTTATCACACTAAGAATACACATGAAAGAGACATGCTGCACTGGGTTTCTAATGCTGCAACCGCCAATAAAATGGCATGATCGAAAACTTAAGTCGCTTTTCTATTTTAAGACCACAGCCTGCAAGAAACCCATTAGATTTCTTCTTGGGTGGGGAAACAGAGCAACACTGAGAGAAGAAAGGTGGAATGGCAGCTGGAGGAGCTGGAAGATTGCAGGCGTAGAGAGGCCATTTCAGCGGGTTTATGGGACAGCTTGGTAAATAGATAAATTATATGGCAACTTGCAACCCTCAGCCACTACAGAAATGAACGCTGGCTCCATAGTATCCTTCCTGCAGCCTTGGGGACGCTTCCCACTCTGCCCTGACTTAGCTTTGCCCCTTTTCTAGTCACCTTGTGCCTGAGCACTGGGTTTATCACCAAAGCAGCAGAGACTGATTGGGGAACAGCTGTTTTATGTGTGCCGGTGACATTTGATGAGGTAGCTGCATATCCCACAAAGCAAAGTGGCTTCCTTTTCAGATGAAAGGCAGAGGGAGTTCTAGATGAGCAGCATACATGAGCTTATGCTCTATCTGTGCAAAATCCCCCCATAAGAAGGGGGTGTATGCTAGGGTTAGCGGGTGTGTGTGCCTGAAGCAACTGGATCGGTTCACGTTTCCACCCGGTCAATCTGATTTCCTTGGTGTCAGCAGCAATGTTGCCTCCAACCCAGTACTTTCTAGACTAGAAAGTTTTGCCAGCCACACTTATGCCCGTGTACAGCTGCCTGCCGCCATAGCCATTTTGCTAAGAAAGAAAGGAATCCTTTTCAGTGGTGGGGGTGACCGGGGAGGGGAGCGGGTTAGAGGAGAGCAAGTGACCTAGTTACACTTGCTCAGTGCCCCTGAGTCACCAAGTTCCCTCTTCCTGAATCACCAGAGGGCGCATGTCACAGCGATTCACTCGTCATGTGACCGCGGTCTTGCAATTTCCTGCGGGCCGTTTTCCTGCAATAGCCCGGGCTGCAAGTGGGCTCTGTCGCGGGCTCTTGGGAGCGTCCACGGGCGGCCGAGGACAAGCCCGCCCAGGGCGGCGGGTACGTATGGACAGAGCGAGCGGGAAGCCGTCCTGCAGCCTCGGCCTCACGAGCCTTGGCCATAGAAATCCTCGTCACGCGTGCCTTGGCGGGAGGCTTGGGGGGCTGTGTAACTTTCCCGCTCTCCTTACAGGAGGCACTTGCGTTTGTTGCGCCCGCGCCTACGCCAACTGGACGTGTGGCTGCTGGGGCGAAGCGAATCGCGGTGTGCGTTAATCCCCTGATCGCTGGCTTCATAGAGAGCAATCACTGCTGCGGTTTCTCCAGGCGAAAAACAAAAACCTTTCAAACCCAATTAGTCAGCGGGGAGGCCTGATTATTGCCTTGGGGGAGGGGAGGAGAAGGGAATCCTGTTGGGGAAAGGGAAACTGCCCCATCCCAGCTGCGTGCTGCCACAGCACGGCGAACCCCCAACAGAGGAGATGCCGGGACCATTGTGAGCTCAGAAAACCTTAGGCCCAGGAGGAGAGTGGAACCTCACACCAGTGGCTCTCGCCCATTCCCCGCTACTGTAGCCTCTTCGGGGGTCTGATTGGTCTTGCCTGCCCCCAAGTTTCACCTCACCTAAAAACGACTTGCTTATAAAATCAGACATAAAAATACCAAAGTGTCACAGCTCACTGTTACCATAAAATAAACCAATTGGAATGTAAGTCTTATACTTACATTTCAGTGTATATAGAGCAGTATAAGCAAATCATTGTGTGAAATTTTAGTTTGTACTGACCTTGATAGTTCTTTTTATGTAGCCTGTTGTAAAACTAGGCAAATACCTAGATGGGTCGATGTACCCCCTGGAAGATCTCTGCATACCCCCAGGGGTATGGCTATCCCTGGTTGAGAACCACTGCTCTAGGCAGCCCCTTGACAAGGTTTGCCTAAAGGGAAGATACCACCCTAGCTGAGACTTTGTGGTAACACCTATTTTAGGGGCCTAGTGATCAAATCTGCACCTCTCTGCTTGTCAGAGCCCCTACATGGGACACGATGTGTGACCCATATTGAGAGACGGGCAAAATATTTGTGGGATTTCTCCTTTATGGTACTGTACGTCTACTGCACTGGAGAGTTGGGTTTGTAACATGGGCACCCTAACGAGAGTCAGTTTGCCAAAAACAGTAGTGAAGCCCAGATAACATAGCTAGAGACATAGTGTAAATAGGTATTTCTGTAGCCTCAGTTGAATTAGTCTTTATGGGGGATGTACACAATCCTCTGCAATAAGAATGAGGGGGGCACTAGGGTTGTGTGGGGCAGAGAGCGCTTTGGCACTAGTGAGCGAGAGGAGCCGTTCCCTGTCGTCTCCAGGAAGTCATTGCTCCTGCTCAGCACCAGGGTCGCGGAGATCTTGTTGCAGTTTCTGGGGCTCCTGAGGGGGTGTACAGGAGACACCGACGATGGCTTGGTGGGGGGACTTTGTCGTTAAAGTTTGCGGGAGGGTACGTGCTGCAGAAGATCCCCTGGCAAGTCTGTTGCATTCTCCCGGAGTTCGCGGCTGGTTCTCCAGCCCGGCCGCTGTCTCCTGGATGCAACGCTCGCTCCATGCAGGCGGCGGGGGGAGGAATTCAGCCAGGAGCCGTGGGTGGGGTTTGCGCTGAGAGGGCCAGGGAGAGATTAGCCCGGAGGGAAGACAAAAGAAACTAGTTCGGCTCTGGTGTGGGCAGTGAAGGATTAAAACCATAGAGCCTCCCGCTGGTAGAGAGGGCTGCAAAGTCCTGCGCAGGGGGAGGGGAGTTGAATAGTGAGCCGCTTCCTCTTCCCTTCCCGCTGTCGGTGCGCGCGGAACCCGCCGGGGAGGGACGAGCCCGGGCCTGCGGGCAGAGCCCCAGCAGACAGGGGGCGAGGCCAACAAATCGGTGCCTCTGGGAGTTGCAGGCAACAACGGGGGAAGTGAAACAGGAGCAACGTCTCGGAAAGAAAGGAGAAAAGTCGGGCAGCGTCCCCCCCAGCCAGCTCTGCTCCGGGGAAGAGTGGAAGGAAGTTTGGGGGCGGCAGCTGCAGGGGTGTTAGCAAGTGGGTTATAGCAGAAAGGAGGAAGTGGGTGTAGAGGGAGGCGGTTTAAAGGATATTACAGGTTCAGGGGGGTGGTGGAAGAGAGCTGTGGTTAGGGGAGACTGGCCTCGGGGAAGTATAGTACATTGGGGTGGTATGGAGGTTTGTTTATTAAAAGCAAACAAATACAGCAGCAGAAAAGGTGAAATTAACCGGCAGCAAGCAGCTCAGCCTGACCAGGGATGGGTTATAAATGCTTTACATTTCCGCATCCTAACTTTTTATTTTAAAGAAACAACTATACTTTTTGAAGGTAAAAAAGCATGTTAGATGGCAGAGACCGTGGTGAAACTTACAATGCACCAACCGGGACCATTCATCTTGTTTGTTTTGCTGGATCCTTATCCCCATGGTCCGCCTGTATGTTTGCCTGCCTAGATTTTTGGCTTTTTGGTCCAGTGTGCACAAAGGAAGCTTTCCCCCCAGACTGTAAGCAGTCTTAAAATTGTAACTGTCTGGAGCTATAGTGCAGATCAGACCTACAGGCAACTTGAGCCATTACTTCGGAACTGGCTAAAAGTGGTTCGGGCCACCTGAAGGCCTGCGGTGGAATCCTGCCCGTTTTAAGTCAAAGGAAGACTTGCTGTTAATCTCAATTCTGTGGCTTTTGAGGAAGTGGTGGGAGGGAGGGGGGCATAATTGGGGGGCATCTGTGGAGAGGCACAAAGAGGCTTCCTGAGAACACCTCACTGCTAATCAGCTGTGCCCTCGTCCTAGCCCCTCCATGTTCCCCTGAGCTGGATTGGTCTCGAGGAGGGAAGGTGATAACCCATGGGCCGAGAGGAAGGCATGATTTACTGGTTGGAGGCAGCAAGGTGGAGTGGAGGGGAGTCCTGGACTTCATACTCCACTTCAGGGACTAGTGGTGGGGAGGGAGAGGGCTCTGCATAGCTCTTTTCAGCATCACAGGATTGCAGTGGTGTGAAGTAGTTTATTCATTTCAATGAGAGGTTCCCAGATGAATCAGAAGGCCCCTTCCCCCCCCCCCCAAGGGATGAATACAGCCTGCCATGATAGTTCTGAGAGATGTGAGTTGACCCATTTCTGTAAGTGGATGTTCTCCTTCCTTCTTTCCCAAAGTCTTCTTCCCTAGCTCCTGCTGTGGAATACCAGTGATCAAGATGATCTCACTATGCAGATGGGTTTTAGAGCAATTTGAATATTCAAGTTCACTTCTTATTTGTGGGGGAGAGGTTGTATCTGGGGAACCCCTAGATCACATTACTCCAAATTTGCACCAGTAAGAGTACCCCATACTTCAGTTGTAGCATACCAGTATTTGAGGTAATCTCACTATGCATGTAGATTTTTAGAGTGTTTTAAAAATGAAAAGAAGGTTCAGTCATATGGACTAAAAATATCTCAGGTCACATGTTCAAAAACGCTCAGCACCCAACAGCTCCCACTTTTGGTAACAAAATGAAGTGAATTTTCCAAAGAACAGTGGGATTTTTGCTGAAAAGTGGCATCAAAACACTTCAAATTTTGGCAGTTACTGAGTCGTGCTCACACTTCATCTTTGCACGTGTAATCTGTATTGCCAGCCCCAAATACTTAAAAATTATGAGATTGGCTTAAAAATCATGAGAATTTCAAAAATAACTTTGGAATCTTTTTGTTTGCCCTCTGATTTTGAATCTTTAGGAGTCACATTTTCAAGCATTTCTCCACAACCACCAAGGCTAGAATTTTTTTTTTTTTTTTTTAATGAAGGCTCTGTGATCAGGTTGGATGATTTAAACCACCAAGTGGAGAACTGCAATTTTAAATAATTGATTTTAATCAACTTTACCATTTGTATTTCAGTTATTTTTCCAAAGAAAGGTGCATTCTCATTGGTAGATATAACCATTAAACCAAGTTGATTTACAATTAAATAGAACCTTTACACGAGATTTGATGCATTTTTTTGCTACCTACCTAGTTCTTTTGCTACTTCAAACCTCCATACCACCCCAATGTACTAGACTTCCCCTAGGCCAGATTTATTTAAGCAATTATATAGTTTAATATTTTCAGATTCTTATCAATTGTACATTTTAGTATGTTAGAAAATGGTGAATAATCTTGCTTATTTACTGGATGGTTAACTTTTTGCTAATGATTTATGTCAAGCTGCATTAGGATGGAATTTAATTGAAGACACAAAATAGCATATTTATTTGTATTAAACAAAACAAGCCCTTAATACGTGACCTATTGTGCCATGTTTACAAAGTTTAACCTCAAAAGTTAGATTTCTCTCCCCCTTCCCCCCATTCTTTATTTACATAGAAAAGCATCCTTTAACTTAAAGTTTTTAATAGGGGCTCATGGATTCAGCATACTTACTTTTTATTTAATTGTTTTTAAGAGATTGCAATAAGCTTGGGCCTTTACATATTTTGTATTAAATTCAGATTTCATTTTAAACATTTTTAAAAAGAAAAACTTTCTATAATCTGATTTAAAAATTCAGAAAAATAATGATTTTTATCCACCCTATCTGAGATTCTCATGTAACTACTTGGCTGGCAGGGCTGGTTTCTACACTTCCTTCCCATTGCTCTCAGTACAAAGGGGCAAGGGAGGTGGGCAGGGTAATTGGCCAGCATATGTGCTTTGGCTCTCCTCAGCAAGCATGTGGTCCCTTGGAAAACATAATGAGCTGGCTCAGTTTAGAGCAGCCTCCAGAGTACACTCGGCACCAGTTCAGAGCAGAATCAGGAAATCGTAACGGGCTCCCTGGCAGCTTTGTCTCTGTCACTTGCAAATGCTTTTGTATAATTATCTTTACAGATCTGTCCTCTATTTATAAAAATAACAGAGCACCATTTCCAGCCACTACAGCAAAAGATCAGCAAAAGAGGTGGATTCAGAGATCTAGCTCCCATCTGGGACAGGTGGGATCACTTATTGAAATCAATATCAGTCCTTTGTTTTTTTTACGCCTTCTATTCCAGGAGTAGATCACAAGATACGGACACCATGCTTGTAGGAGAGGAAATGTCCTGAACCAGAAATTACCCTGGAGGGCAAGACCTTCCTGATTGTAGACTATCCATTGTGGTGTTCAACTGGAACGTCTCATTTTTTGAGAAGAAAATGTGTGTTTGGCTCTGAATGGAAACACCTACGCTTGCGGATGAAGGGCCTGACTTCCTCCTAACGTATGTACTGAATCACACACAAATCCCCTCTCATCTGTGCAGAACAGTATGTATTTTTGGGGCAGGATACAAACCCAAACAGACAAGTATGAGTCACTTTCTCCATCCCTGCCCCCTCCCCCTTTTTCTAGGAATGGAGACCTCCCATCTTAAAGAATGACACAATAGAAAAATTATTCATATGAAAGAGGGAAACCTTCACTTAGATTGTTTCCAAAGGGAAGCTTTCTTCCTGTTCAATCCTTGGTCATTCCATTTCAGCTGATGGGATCCACCTTCCTTCAAACCCAAAAGAGCCAGGCATTCCCTCTTCATTGCCACACCTTGGCTATGGGAAATGCAGGAAACCTTAAAGGGACTTCACATATTCAGTATCCCGAGCTCCTCCCCTTACCCTGATGGTTTCAGGGAAGTCCCATCTGTAAGATGCTTTCCTTTCAAAGGTCAGCTTATACTGAAGCTTGCACATCAGACTCTTCTTTTATATAAACCAGCCAGGGTGGCTTCATAGCTGCTCCTTCCCTACTGTCTGTTTTTCTCTCTCCTGAACTGTTTCTGTGGCTGTTGGCTTAGCCTCCTGCTGCATGTTTGCATGGTTCAGTGCCATCAGCAGCTTCAGGGAAGTAGCCTGTAACTCTTGTTCTTCTGCTGTCTTCAGCTTGGCCAGCAGCACCTGCATTGCCTGCATCCAGTGCTGCACGTTGGGGTCCTTTAGCCGCAGGAAGAGGTCTTCCAGGTCGCTGGTGGGTAGATGGGACTCCTGGGGGCTGGACAGCTCTCCTTGCTGCTGGCCACTTTCAGCCTCCTCTCTGATCTGGTTGACAGGGGAGTTTCCTGGTATGCTCTGAGGTTTAGGTGGGCTCTGAGAGAAGATTAAGAGTATTCTCGTGTGGGAGTTGGATTGGGGTGTAGTTGATAGGAGGATATCCTTGACAGCAGCTGCTCCTGTACCAGAAGGAGGTAGGGGTCCTGCGGTGGTGGAAGACTGGGTAGAGGTCTTTTTTGGGGGCAAAAGTGTCTCACTGGCAGTGACATCTTCGTTGAAGGTTCGTGTCCTACCAGTCTTGCTTTGGATCTCCTCTGGGCATATAACCCTCTGTGGAAGAGCAGAGGTACATCAGAGGAAGGCAGAAAAGCACAGGGACCCTGCACCCGTTCTTTTCTTAGGTGTGTGGGGTCACCACTTGCTACACAATTACACATTTCCCATTCCTATCATCCAAAGTTTTCTCATAGGCATCAGGACAGGCAAAAAAAAATCTCTCCCTGACTCCTTTCTTGCCCACCATATTTCTCTGTCCAACTGTCTTCCTATTCTCCTCTCCTTCCTTCTTTTACATGCTCCCTCTCTTAGTTTTCTCATGTTCTGTTCTTCTCACAATTCTTTATCATCCTTCTCCCTTCATCCATCCCGCCCCCCATTCTCCACTCTCTTTGAGTGCTACCAGCCGTTTCCTGTGTCTGCGCATCCCAGTGCATTCCTCAGTACCAGATTCATCTGGAAACAGTTCAGACTCACCTTAACAAAATACTTTTTCATAGTACAGCGATAAAAGGTAAATGTACAAAAGTCTGCGAAGAAGGGAATTTCTGGCAGGTCTGAGCATACAGGCCCTAGAGAGAGGTAAATAATAATTAAATTTATTGAAAAACTCCAGTGTTGGACAGTCACTTCTCCTAACCCTCAGTTATAAATCCCAAGACTGGGTGGTCCCCATCTGCCAATAATAAAACTCAGTGCCATCCAGTAACCTCCCAAAGTTTGAGTGGTTAAAACCCCAGCACTGGCTGGTCATCTTCATGACCCACGGTGATTTTAAAAAAAACAAGACAGGATTGTAAGAACATAAGAATGGCTATACTGGGTCAGACCAATTGTCCAGGTAATCCAGTATCCTGTCTTCCAACAATGGCCAGTTGCTGCAAAGGGAATGAACAGACCAGGGTAATTATCGAGTGATCCATAATCTGTCATGCAGTCTGACTGTCTGGCACTCAGAAGTTTAACAACACCCAGAGCATGGGGTTGTGTCCCTGACCATCTTGGCTAATAGTCATTGATGGACCTATCCGCCATGAACTTATCAAATTATTTTTTGAATTCCATTTTACTTTTGGTCTTCACAACATCCCATGGCAATGAGTTCCACAGGTTCTGGTGTACTTAAAAAATTTCCTGTTTAGTTTTTTTATCTTTTGCTAGTTGCTCTTCAAGTTCTTTTTTGTAGAGCCCTGTGTGGATACAAAACTTAAGTATGCAGATATCTGTGGACTTGCAGGGCTTTACCGAGAACCACAGCAGTGAAAGCAGCAGGATGTCGGGCCACTGCTTGCAGGAGCCAGCACCTTCCATTAACTGCTCCTCTGGTGTGGCTGTACCACCCTCAGCCCCACCCATTGGGGCGGGCACCAGGCTCACCCGCAGCTGTCTCTGGTCGTGCTAGTGTGTGCAAGTGGCTCACATGCTCCCAGACAGGAGTCTCTTCCATGCAGAGGTGTGCATCTCCTGTCCAGGAGCATGTTACTGTTCAGCAATATCAGTTTGATCATATTACCAAGTGCTACTTTAAAAAGTGATTTAAAATGTGTGACTTTTACCCTGTATTGTGTATCTGCAGGATATGTTGTTTAAATTGCAGGATTTTTTCTGTAAAATCAGTTTTTTCTCATTGCAATCCAATTTTGAACATTTTTATGCATTTATAGTAAGGCT